AAATTATGTTGGACAAACTAGACGATTAATTCAAACTAGATTCAAAGAGCATATAGTCCATCTCAAATATGGTAGAAAAGATAAGTCTAGTGTTGCCCAATAGATATTGGCAATGTAAGATTAATTAGAAATGTAACAAATACTAGACAGATGGATGCATTTGAAAGCTTGGAAATCACAAAGTGTAAAAATGGTATGCATAGTAACAGAGGACCAACCTCAGGTAGCCCGCTTTATTAGTTTGTGGGTCATGGTTCACCGAACCGTGGCAATAGTTTAGGTATAAATAGGGTACATTGTTAGCATAAGGGTAGTTTTAATCATCTCCAGATAATGCCAACTTGGTTGGCGCAACGCGCGTCGAGTGCAGTATATAGTGTTTTGGTGTCTCGTGGAAAACTACGTCAGTGTTAATAATAAGATGTATTTCTCTTTCCACAAGGATTCTGAGACGACCTTCGCTCTTTCTAGTGTATCTGTATTCATCTGGCCACCTTTTCCAAAATTCCAGTACACCACAAACGTTTTCGGTACAACAGTCTCATTTATATTATAAAACATGATTATTTAACTACATTACAGCAGTATATGTATTGCTAAAATTAAGAAAAAAATGATTTTCTAAAAAATCAAAAAGTGCGATCCAATTATGAAGGATGCGATGAAAGATTGTAGTATATTATTATAGGTACTTGAACCGCACTTTTTTGTTTGTTTTCAATAATATGTTTTGAACTGAAAAATAAAGAAATACAGCCTCTGAGTCATTTTCTAAAGTTATTAATATATACGACACTTTAAAAATAGTTCACCTACCTGAAATATTTCTATACAAAATATTTCTCAGACAAATAAAACGTAATATTTAACCTTGATAGGCGACATAGAAATCTTATAATTCTACCGTGAATGTGTATGTATATATACATTTATTTAAAAATAGAAATGCATTTACGTGAAGTTATGGAACATGTAATCTAGATGCCTCCCTTCGGTACATACAGGCGCGTTTCTACTAAAAATAAATGAAATAAAACTGCTTCTCAACCAAGATCGATATGGGGTGTCTGTTTTAAGTGATTCACTCAAAATACCTCCGTTATTAGTGTCTGTAGAAAATTTCCTGATCAAAAAATAGAACCTGTCCACAGAAATGCCTTATTGAAAAAAAGGCCTATTGTTGAATCTATAAGAAAAAATAAAAGAAACTGGTAAATTTCTGTCGCTTACAACTATTCATTAAAAGATGGCAACTATCTTGAAATGCAGTACCTAAAAGTACTTCAAGATTATATACAATATTCCGGCAATTAAAAAATTTGTTATAGACTCCAGTAAACCTCTAGCTGGCTAAATTACTGTCCATTGCTAACGGACAAAGTATACAATACAGTGTTCTAGACTGCGTTAGTTAATTGTTTCTAAATGTTACCATTTTCAGTGTCTTCTCTACGCACCAAAGACAATAACATTTTCACATTGCCCCAAAGCTCTGTATTAGGCCCCCTCGTATTTACTATATTTATTAATGACCAACTTTTCCAAATAAAGCCGCAAGTCTAATTAATAAAAACAATAATTTACTAATGACAAGTTGACAAATAAATATACTTCGAATATTATTATAATAATGTTATCGCTAAACGTGGCAAAAACTTTTTTGACATCATGAAATTTCTGGAAACAGTTTTAAGTGGCATGTTCTAAAGACTATTCTATATAAACGAACCATAAACCAAGCCTGTGTTAAAATTTACCGCTAGATTCTTGGACCCCCAATGTGAAACCCAAGCACCTCTGGGGCAATTGCAATATACTAGGTAAATGTCAAAAAAGGCTTTTACTGAACAACGATAAATCTGTAATTTTAATAAATTTTTAATTGATTTATAGCGGATAATACAGCTTTATGCGTGAAGTATACAGCGAGAGTTGATTCAATTCGAACAGGCGTTAAAGGAAATTAAATGATGTACGTGTCGATTTTTTATGTGGAGTTTTAATGGCGGTTTTCACTACAGGTGGAGCGAGCATAATCCATACACGTCATTATGCTTTCCTGCCTGTTATATGTTGTAACGAAGTGATTTTATTTTATTAAGTTAAGTTAGGTAGCTAGGTTTTGAAAAATATTTTACCCATTATGGTGCTACGCTTTTAATTAATAACAGTTAAATTGTTAATTATAGATAGGTAGTATTGATATGTTTTTATGAACATTCCACATAGGCCAAGTGGCCGGCAGTAAGCGAATCGCGACGCACGTATTGTGTCCCCGGCACCCTTATACCCGCGCTAACTTGAAGGGGCCCGAGACTGAAAATAATCAAATTAGTTTCCGTCCAGCTACTCAACGAGGAACCACGCCGGCCAGCACAGTAAGTAAACTCGTGAGTATAAGGATATATTGGTATCTAAATTTCATGCGAAATTATTCTAAGTCGATGAACGGGTGACGTAGTTGTAATATACCGCGCATGACTACCGTATCTCATCCTACTTCTGCGTTTTAGCAGTGTTTAGTAGCATGAGGATTTTATCATTAAATTAGTTCCCGTCTGAGCTCCAACCGAAGCACCACGCCGACTTGGATAGTAAGTAAACTTGTGAGTATAGAGGTACATAGGTATCCAAAGGTAATTGCGAATTTTTCTAAGTCGATAAACGGTGACGTAGTTGCAATATTTCGCGCATGACTACCGCGCTCCTCCTACTTCTGCTTTTTGGCAGAGTTTAGTAGCTTGAGGATTTTGCAGAGTATCCGAGACAGTCCGTTGCTGCCGCCCGTACCGTCCAGACGTGCCGACCCCGACCGCTCCAGAGAGGAAGCCAGCACAGGATCCGGAAGTAGGTAGCAAGGTTTGGTAAATAAAAGGTATTACTTGGCTGGTATGTATTTTCCGGAAATTGTTTAGAGTTGGTAAAACGCGATCGCTCCTCCTGGTATCCGTCCGCCGTCTGCTTGTGACCGTTTAATTTATCGCTGTTTACCGTTTCACCGCTTCATTCACCGGCGTACTGTATCTCACCGCTTGACCGCCCGCTTACTGCCCCGCTTGTCCGTAGTTAAGACCGTAGTAGTATAAGTTTGTAGAATAAGACCGCTGGTAGTTAAGACCGTTGTAGTTTAAGTTGTAGTTACTAAGGTGTATATAAAGTGTAAATAATAATTAGTGTGTAGAATAAATGTACATATATTGAATAAGAGCCGTTTCATTAACTGTAGTGTGTAAGTTGCCTTTTTCTCGACCCCTGGCTTAGCCGTATCTTCACTGCAGTTGCCCGGCCTCTATCGTCCCGCCGATAGAGTAAAGTGGTGTTTCTGCACTCTAAACAGAAACTGGCGCCCGAGATCTCCGTACCGTGTGCACCGCCGTAGTGTTGGGCGTCAAAGTGACACTTCTGCTCTTGGGTAGAGCACCGGAAGTACGTCACAATGTAAGTAAATCTATGCATTCTCATAATGAATCAGTAACATTTTTGGTAGATTTTCTTCTACGGATTTCCTAGAGACTAACACTTGTTATCTGCACATAATACATTAATTCAATCGGTATTACCCATGGGATAATTTTCTAGGGAAGGCTCACAAAATTAATAACATTTTCAGTTGGCAAAAACGATCCGACTGAATAATTATCGATACGCGCTGGTGCAAATGATCAGGATCAATGCCAACTTTGTGTTCATTAGACATGGCATCATGCCCATCCCGCGCTTATATCTACGATTCTGCAATTCATGAAAATATAAACCTTTAATCGGTTACAATAATTATGAGGGCAGGTCATCCAATTTATTACGAACGTAGAGACAGTCTTACAAAATCGGCAACAAATATTAATTAGATCTGATTCAGTCTATAATAAAGGCAGGATATAAAAAACCCGGGCTATAATAGTTTTAAAACAATAAATAAGAACATAGTGGGTTTAATGAACAGATAAATATCTATAAAAGCACCGTTTCCCTAAACTAGAATCAGGTCATAATATATTAAACTACTTTGGTTTCGATTTAAAATCGAATCGAATTTCTTCCATGGCCGTTTAAACGAACGACATCAAAACATGGTTGTATCAAACAAAATGTATCAAAGTTAATAATATTCGGAGTTCCGCAAGGATCTACACGTGGACCATTATTGTTCATTATATACTTCAGATGTCTTTAAATCGGTACAATATACTCAACTACAATTATACGATGACTTTTAAAACATTTCAAAAGTTCTCATTTTCTAAACATGTAAACAAGATATTGATTAAAGTAAGGCTCAAAATACTATGTCACTTTTAAATTATAAATTGAAAAATAGAGAGAAATAATTCCTTTTTAATTACTGCAATATCGCTTACTACTCATACATCGATACACTGGCCAAAAATTGTATACAGGGAATACAAAATTCCTGCTGTCGCTTTGTATGTGGTTTACGAAAATTGTTCCCATATTTTCAGTAGTTTTAAGAGCTTAAAATGGTAAAATATTGAATCTACTGTAACAAATTGTTTCTAAAATTTATCCAACGTGTGTTATTAAGATCCGTACTCGTATGTCAGAAATAAACTTATAAGTAGACGATCAATTCATGCGGCAAATATAAGATTTCAAAATAGAATTTCTTTACTGCGGTCGATACCTTGGTAAATTGCGGGTTATTCTAAGTTGAATTAAATGTGTCACTATTAGAGAACCCCGATTGTAAATTTAAATAAGTGTTTATTGTCGTGTTTCGAGAATGTTCATTTGTTGTGAAATCCAGATTATAAAAATAAGTAACTTTATTATCGCCTTTCAGGAACGTCCATTACAGCTTTCTTATTTCTTTTTTATTTAAACACCACAACACCCTGTATCCATGAAGGTACCTTAAAGTACCGTGTGTGGGAGAGAACTACACATTTAGAGACAATGGACAAACACCCAATGTCCGATTATGCTAAGATTAATTTCTGGTTTAGAAAAAATCCTAGCTCCTCGACCGGAGATCAAACTCGGGACTCCAGGGTGAGAATCGAACTCAGGATTCCAGGGTGAGAGGCAAATGTCCTTACCACTCGACCACAAGGTCACTCCTCAGTTAAATAAAGTGAGAGAATTACGACTTTGGTATTTTGTATTAGGTAATACTTTTTGTAAATTAATCTCACGTCTCTATTGGAATACTTTGATGTTTAAATTTTTATTATACTTTTATTAATACAAATATTCATGCAAAAAAATAGATTCCATTTGCTTGTTAATCGAGTCTGATTATGTCACCTACTGTATAGGAATTCTTGTAGTCGACAATTTAGCGTAAAAATAGCTTTATTTTGGCAGAACCGATGTCAGACAGTCCTCTCGTTGACTGCGACACCTTAGGGAGTAGTGCCAGTGAATTAATTACCGCCACTCCCCACATCCCGCAGGATTAGTGGCTGTAGATCCCAGAATCATATCCCCTAAGCAGACCGCAAGAATGACAGCCTTCTGTATTTGGCCAGCTAGCAGCTCGGCTGATTTTTGGCATGGTATGGCCTTCAATCTCGATAGCAATGCAGGCTTTATCGTCAGTTATCGTCTATTAGGAGACGATCATTTATAAATACGTCATTTTTACGTGTATTTTGGGTTACATATGACAATTTGGGTCATTTATGAAATTTAACACATCAGTTTTTAAAAATTTTGGTCAATTAAAATAAGATGATCATTTTAAAAGTGGCTGAAAACATAAAAGCCCGAAAATATAAGTGACCCCCATCTCTACAGGAAATAGAACCAGACAGCACTCGGGGCTACACTGTAAAGGCGAAAATGAAAACACCTTATTACAAAAGCTACAACCAAACTACTGAGCGAGTCAATTGTTACAAATCAATGAAACGTCCAATTTCTGTCAGGTTAATAGATTGTGAAATATTTAAAGACTAATGGTTTCAGTACAGATTGAAGCTTGAAGTCTGGTTTAAGCTCGTTGAAATACTATAGTAACAGGTATCTCTACATATGTATATTATGCCACGTTCAAAATTAAGCTGCTAAAAACCACTCCTAAACCAACTATTTTTGGTAACATGAATCGTTTACCAACGTACACAATTTTCTGACATTTCAACAATGTATTTGTGCTGTTCTACTTGTCCCTATTACTATTAGTTCTCTTTTTATTAATACTCGGTTTGTATTAGGACTTTGTATACGCCAAAAGTTCCTGATTTGTACGCTTGCTTAGACTAATTAAAGACATTGTGCAACAAAAATGTTACACAATGTAGTTCTTTAATTAAAAATCGATAAAACTGATTAAATAAAATTAATTGTATTTAGACAGTTATAAAACCCTTGTACAACTTTACAGACTTATTATGGTGGCATGTGGGTATGCACACAAAACTGACAAAGATGGGCGATGTCCGACAGAGATATGTTCTTGTTCTCGTGAAGTATGTATGTATAATCGGTGTTTAAATATAATTAACTGTTGTTCGTATACGATGATAACTAAAATATATATTCTTTTGGTAATTTGAGCAAATTGTATTACAACTTAACTAACTTATTTTAAAAAATATCCAGCCATATACAGTAAAACACGAGAAAAGTAAAAAAAACCTGTATAGTAGAAAAATATTTAACTGATAATAATAAAAAAAGTCATATTGATAAATATTTTAATCTGCAATACTTGTTTCAGGTGTCTGGTCGGATGTTGATTGTTTAAGCGTTTGTTTATACAAGGTGTTCCGAAATTAGAGGTCAATGTCTTAACGGTAGATACTAGACACTAAGTTATGGCATTTGATCCATACATATATATACCAAAGCGCGCCGATTTTGAGATACAGGGCGATAAATGTGACCGATACGCACAATCATTTTAAAATACCTTCGAAACCGTTTGATATATTTTTTCCTGTTTTTAATACAAGATTAGAGATATCGAAAAATTACAATAGTAAAGAAATTTCGCAAATTATGTGAACTTTCTCCCTAGAAAACATAGTCATAATCGTGCCAAACAAAACTGAAGTGGGTTAAAAGATAAGTGGCCTGAAAAAAATAAATATCCGCTGTATCAATCTCAACCAAATAATGAAGATATAATTGGTCTTATAATAAACGCCTATCAAAACTGGAAAATATATCTCAAACAGTTCTGAAGATATCTGAAAAATGACTGCGCATCAGTCACATTTACGCCCTGTATCTCAAAAACGGCGCACTTTGGTATATAGCTATGTTCAAATACCACAATTTAGGGTCTATATAGAATTTACCGTTAAGAGATTGACCTCCAATTTCTGGACATCTTGTATTTATGTGTGGAAATAAAAAACCCTTTTTTTGTCAAGGTATTTTAATGTTTATGTCAAACAGGGAAAATTAACAATTAATAATCTGCTCCAGCCCTAGGTGAAATCTGCGCTGGAAGAGAGACGAGTTAGTGCTGCTTTAAGCGACTGTCAGTTATACGCCGAGGTGAGGGGAGGCTATCCACAAAGCAGCTGCCTATCACCCCATCTAAGGTGTCTAATAATGGATGGTCTCTTCGGAAGGATTCTATACGCAGGCATACTCGGACCATTGGCTGGTTCTAGTGACCGGCCGATTTCTAAACATCGTTTGCAACAGAATGCAGGCAGCCTGTAAAATAATAGAAATATGGTGGGAAACAGGTCTCTTAGTCAATCCCTCCAAAACTGAGATGATTCTTTTCACCAAGAGAAGAAAAATAGATGAGCAGATCGACAACGTCATCAAAAAGTCGACTGTAACTAACAATTGCGCCGAGCGGTAGGTAGGAACTAGGGCCTCAACAAACGGATCCTACATTGGCGGTCATTAGACTGAGGCTCCAGTACGAATCTGTGGTCTGGTGGCCGAGCGTGGACAGAGTGACCACGTCCCTAAAGCTGGTAAAAGTCCAGACCAGCTTGCCTCGGGATCACTGGCGTAATGAGAATGACATCAACAGCTGCTCTGGAGGATCTGCTAATCCTGCCAACGCTTCCCTCATGGATAAAGAGGAGGCTATGGCGGCCTATATGAGAATGCGGGGTTCTGGGAGTTGGCGATGTTCAGGTAGAGTTGAAGGTCACGAAGCAATTGCGAACTTTGTCAAGATATAGTTTAATATAAGGAGTAGGCTCCCGACTCAATTTGATCGATCTCGTTATATGTAGAGTTGGTCACCTGTGGCCACAAGACTAGCAGCAAATAGCAAATTGAACCGTATGAACAGCTTAAACAATAACAAACAAAATTAAAAGTTTATTAAAAAAATCAAAAAATATGCCTCTCAAGTCACCAAAGTAACTCTCAGAAAATCCTAGGACTTTATGTTGAGTAAGGGGAAGGGGGGGCCCTACAGTTTATCGTGGTCCTAACCACATCTAGGGCATCGGCAATTCCCTCTCCCATCTTAGTCGGAAACAAATTACAAATAAAATTTCTAGCTTGCTCCGGGATGGATTCGAACCATCTATATTCGGTACCGAGTAAATAGCTATAAGCGCTTTACCTATTCGGCTACCATGCCCCTTCATTGTCATTGCCTTCAGTGTTATAAATTATTGTTGCTTATAATTTATTTTTTGTGAAATAACAAATAAAATAATCATGAATAACAGTGAAGTGACCGACATGTTGCAAGTATACTTCGAATGCAATAAAAATAGGAACCACGCGGTGCGTCTTTACATAATTCGCTTTCCGCATAGAGAAGTTCCAGAAAGCCATACATTTAGAAGACTAGAACAGAATTTGAAAAACTATGGTGCTTTTAAAAAACCCAAACAAGAGCAACATCAATTTAACCAAAATGTAGAATTAAATGTTCTCCTTAATGTACAGGAAAATCCAAGAAATTGGACGGCAAAAAAGTAGACTTTGCTACACCAGGCATGAATGTGGTGACTTTGCGAAAGATTACATATTTTAAGTATGCTCCAGTTACATCTGTTGACGTCTAGCGATCCTTCTAGCAATATAAATGTATTTTCAACAAAAGGCGCCGAAGTTCAACTACAAAACATTTAGAACAGATATTAATCACATATTTTTATTCTTGTAACCGGCAGTGAAAAGTAATTGTGCATGTAGTTTACAGTTAAGTACATCCCCCTATATCTCCAGTTCTCTTTGAGTGAGTGTTTATATTAAATTTACTTTAACAACTTTGGATAATACGGAATCAGCAAAAAAAATTTCAAGGTAATATATTGTTTCATATATGCATGCAAATCTGACACAACCACCTAAAGCCAACCCTGGGTTTACATCATATCCGATTGGTAAATTATACCTCTGGAAATAACGGAGTGATGACTTGCGGTGTTCTTTGCGAGACACCCTGTAGTAGGTAATATTATGTAATTATGATTGGGAACGTACATGTGATGTTATTGAAAGCGGATGCCGCCATTGGACAATTAGATATGTTGTATAATGTTAAAAGTACATTTACAATGGATATATATTGCCAAGATATTGTACCTTAAATATAAGACTACTACATTTTTTTTGTAATGCGTGTGAAAAAAATTAAAAAATTGATCAGTATAGTTTATCGACCTTTCGCATTTTACTCATTCACATTGAATAAAAACTTCTCAGCGAAAATATTTTGCATGAATCACGGTGCATTTAAAATCTTGTAGAATGAATACTAATGATAGTTACTGATGACGTTTTTAACTTCATATATTTCATTCAATTTGGCAATGGGTCAGAGAGAATGTGTCATGTCCAATTTTTATGATGTCGTTTACTATGGGAACTTTAAATTATTGTTTATTTACGGATCTTAAATAATACTCTCATAGAAGGTTTTATGTTGTGGGCAAGATATTTTCATATTGCTACTAAGAAATAAATGTACTTATGCAACCTCCGAAAACTGTCCACACTTTTGTTAGTGTCCACTCTGTATCGAAAAAATTAAAGAATTTACGACGTGCCAACCTCGGTACCAACTAACCTTGGAGAGATCCTAAAAAAAAACTGAGTGTATTAACCTTAGTTTTGCTCCATTCTCTACTAAATAAGGGAAATGTATTGTCTATTTTTTTTAACTTAAATAAAGTT